TCGAGAAAAGTAACTTCAACCTTACTTTTTCTTAGTGCATGTTTGGCAGACATAAGCCTCTGTCTTCTAGCTTTTGTAATGTTTAAAAAATCTCCAAAAGCTTCTAATTGTATGTTTGACATGACAATTTTTAAAAGTTTTTCAAAAAATAAAAGATTTTTTTTTGAGATGCTACAGGGAGTAACATCCGAGAAAAGACCATGACTTTTGGTATTAATTAGTCCTCACAGCTTGTATACCGAACAAAACTAAATCAAATAGTCAACTTTTTACCAAACAGCTACCACATTTTCTTTGAAAGATCTTTCCGATCACAAAAACTAACAACTACTAAAAAGCTCACAAAAATATCTTTTCAACTAGTTGTTTGGTGAAATATTTGCGTGTTTGGTGAAATCAAAAATCACGTGTTTGATGAGAGAGCAAGCTGAGAAGCCTGATAAACCGAAAAATTGAGCCACCAAACGGGTTTTGTATTTATTGTCACCTATAAAAAAGTATAGGGAAAAGTATGAAAAATGTACTTGTGGTTGTGTCCGTTTTCAAATAGGATCATGTGTTTCATTTTTTATCACAAGAGGGTCAAACCGTTAAAAACACATGAGAAAGACGGTTAATAGCAACTCCGATTTTAAAAAATGTTCGAAAAATTAAAAGAAAAATACCGAAAGGTGCGCCTCAACAAGACGACTACTAGGCCATGATTTCACTAATATCACTTTTCCGGTGACAAGAGTGGCTGAAAAAAGAAAGAAAGATGGCCTAATGGTCGTCTTGTTGAGACTCACATTTCAGTATTTTTTTTTAAAATTTTCTGGGCACTTTTGAAAATCGGAGTTACTATTGACCATCTTTTTGAGCATTTTTAACGGCAATTTTGCTCTTTGTACACATTTTAATACACACCATATACACACTATATATACCTAAAAAAATTACCCCTCCCCCTTAGATGAAAAGTTACCCACCAGACCACTCCCTTCCATTTCTCTCACCGACTCATCCTCCCTCCCTCCCTCCCTTTCATCTCGCTTTTCTTTCTTCTCATCTACCCCATTTTTTCTTCTTCTTCTTGTTTCTTCCTCCTATTTTCTGGCCACATAAATAAGAGCTTATGCTCCTGTTTTTCGCTCACGTTCCACATATTTGCTACCTTGCCATGTTCCACATATTTGCTTCTTGATGCTTTTTTTTCTTTCTGAGATTAAATTTGTTTTGGGTGATCGAAGGATGACCAGAGACAGACAATTCTGCATCCGGAAAGAATGGAAACTAGGGTTTAAATTTGGGTCAGGTTTTAATCCCAGATTTCCAAACCAAGGTAATTATCTACTCCCTTTAATTTTTATGTTCATACAGGGTTAGGATTTTTTTTTTCAAATTAAGTAAATTATACACGGTATGATGTTGAATTCTTGATCATTTTGTTTCATTGATATAGGTTTATGATATGCACCATTGAAATTTAAGTCCTACTACCTCCGTCCTGGAAAGGTTTGACAAATTGACTTTTCTTGGTCAATGATGACAAACTTTAAGCAATAATTCTATTTATTATATTTGTATATAATTTATAAATTTTATACTTTTATGAAAATACATTCAATAATAAATATTTTGATATTATTTTCATATTCTAAATAATTTCATATTAAAATATATCATTGGTCAAAGTTGATTGTGATTGACCAAGAAAAGTCAATTTGACAAACCCTTTTGGGACGAAGGGAGTATTGTATTTCAATTATATGCCCATTACATGTTTGTTGAAATGTTTGAATGATATTTTCTTTCTTTGTAATTATCAAAATAATGAAATGCTGTTTGTTTTAATATCTATTGACTCCTTACACTTTGATCAGGATTCAGGAAGAGGAACCAACGGCCGGACAACGACATTAAGAAGATTATATCTATCTTGTCATTACTATATCTACTTTCAAGGCACAAACAAAAGACCAGAGGAAACTCTAATTAATGGAGAAGAAGATGAATGAGGCACATAATTAAGGGTTAACAACAAACCTTTCCCAAGTATAAGATAATAAAATTTAAGTCTTGTAATAGTCACTTTGTAAAGTAATGATATTGTATTCATTATGTTACCGTATTAATTGCAGACAGTGGTTTCATACACACAGATAATAAGTGAAGACATATACATTTTTTCGGATTATGCACAAACAAAATAAATGTAGACACAGACAATTATTATCTACACAAAGACAAAATAAATGAAACACAAACAATATAGACAAAGATATAGGCGATGCTTCGACTTCGCACAAACAAAAATAACCAAACATACACACAAATGACACAATGTTTCAACCACACACAGACAATAATTATTCATAACCACGCAACTCATATGGACATTTCAAATATAATTATCAAATACATATTCACGAAAACTAACTTTCAAGTTTATACAAGTATTAAAGGTCCGAAATGGCTTTCACATGAAACATCTTACTACAATTTAGCATAAAGCTCACTTTAAGTTTACTACAATTGGAGAAATGCAAGAAACGAAAGGAGAATTTTGAGGGATGAGCTTGGGCGAGCTTTGATTTAGCAATGCTCAAACCAGTTCGCAGTACGCCCAACTCTGGATAAGCCAATACTCTCTTTTTTGGAGTCCGAGTATTATTCAGTTTGCTGCACAAATCAAGAGGTTAAGCGCAGTAGCAAGTCTTATTTTGTTGACATCCTCTCTTTTGACTCCAGGGTTGGGCCAAATCTGGATAAGCCAATACTCTCTTTTTTGGACTCTGAGTATTCTTCAGTTTGCTACACAAATCAGGAGGTTAAGCAGTAGCAAATCTTATTTTGTTGGCAGCCTCTCTTTTGACTCCAGGGTTGGGCCAAATCTAGCACCAACTATAAACTCCATCTAGCAAATGCACATAAAAGTATAAGAAATTTCACAAGATAAAAGTAATAAAAGAGATTTTTCATTAAATCTCAAGTAATAAATTATATAAATGAAATATTAAATTAGTGGGACATTCATAACATTTGCACATTCATACTACATGATACAGATGTAGGCAATTTAAGCAAAACAAGTCATACATTTCATGACTTAAACGAAAAGGCACATAACAAAAAAACTTCTAAGATATGAAAAAAAATCATTCAAACATTTCAACAAACATGTAATGGGCTTATGGGCATATAATTGAAATACAATAGGACTTAAATTTCCATGGTTCATATCATAAACCTATATCAATGAAACAAAACGATCAAGAATTCAACATCATACCATGTATAATTTACTAAATTTGAAAGAAAAAAACCTAACCCTATATGAACATAAAAATTAAAGGGAGTAGATAATTACCTTAGTTTGGAAACCTGGGATTGAAACTTGACCCAAATTTAAACCCTAGCTCCCATTCTTTCCGGATGCAGGATTGTCTGTCTCTGGTCATCCTTCGATCGCCCAACACAAATTTAATCTCAGAAAGAAAAACAAAATGCATCAAGAAGCAAATCTGTGGAACATGGCAAGGTAGCAAATATACGGAACATGAGCGAAAAACAGGAGCATAAGCTCTTATTTATGTGGCCGGAAAATAGGAGGAAGAAACAAGAAGAAGAAAAAATGGGGTAGATGAGAAGAAAGAAAAGAGAGATGGAAGGGAGGGAGGGAGGATGAGTCGGTGAGAGAAATGGAAGGGAGTGGTCTGGTGGGTAACTTTTCATCTAAGGGGGAGGGATAATTTTTTTAGGTATATATAATGTGTATATGGTGTGTATTAAAATGAGTTATTGCCTTCCGTAGGACTAAACTAGGGTTGAAATTCTCAAATAGGAGTAGATAAGTTTTATTCCCTAAATAGGACAATTATTCCAAATTTACCCCTCCTACACTCCTACGTGCATTATTCTCCTCCGCCCAGACATTTCCCTTCTCCACGCACCAGCTGGTTTTCATTCCAATTTTATTCATGCCTGACGGATTACGTTTTCTTCTCCAAATCTTAAATTCTCCTCCACACCAGCTATTCTTCTCCAATATGTTCCATATTTCAGGTTGCCAGATGAGTTTTCTTCTACTCTCATCTTCTCCGATTGAAAACCTTCAACAACGAGGTCATCAGGCGCGACGAGCGACAGTGAAGAGTGGTGGCGGTGAGCAGGGGAGAGCATCGACGACCAACGAAGCGAGTGAGTAGCAATTTCTGATCCAGATCTGTAAAGCAACTCATTCTTCTCCCTCCTTCCTCCTTCTCATCTTCTGTTTGGTCGTTGATTCATGCTCATCTTCTGTTTGGTCGTAAAGCAACGAAGGGGGTGAGTAGCAATGTCCATCTTCTTCTTTGGTTGTTCAAATTGCTAAATTTTCTCTCAAAATACCATCAAAATGACATTTTTACTCTTCAAAAAATTCATATTTTTCTTTAAAAATGCCATTAATATGGCATTCTAGAGTCATGTTGGCATTCTGCTAAATTTATTGGCAACATCAGCAATGGCGGTTGGAACTGCAGTAGCAGTGGGCGGATTTGCAGTCGGTGGCCGGTGGCGGCCAACTCTGGTTAGATCTACGACGGTGGTGGCCGGATCTGCAACAGCAGCGACCGGATCTGCAGCGACGGCGGCCGGATCTGCATGGGCGGCTAGTTTTGAGGATGTGGCAGCGGTTTTTTGGCGGCTGGCGGCCGGCGGCCGGCGGTGGCCGTTCCGGCGGTCTGTATGTGACGATATGTTGTGTACGTCCAGGTTCAGGGGTATTCCTAAAAAAGGACTAATGTCTAACTTCAAATAAATACTCCTTTTTGAGGAATTTTTGAACATTAGTCCTATTTTGACAATTAAGACTTTAATTACTCCTATTTAGGTAAATCTCCTTTAAAATTGTTTTAAGGGCGATAGAATTCAAACACATTTTGATAAAAATGACCGCGTGTGAAAACTAATCCAATCACTATGTTTTTTCTTACTTTTCCCAAAAGTATATTTGTATCTCAAATCATATTTCACTTCAGGATTTTCTCTCTCACAAATCATGGACATCGACAACGATATCTCCGGGTGGATTCTTGAATTCATCCTCCGGCAATCGCTCGACGATGCAACGTTGACGGCTCTTATTCGTGTGCTCCCAGCTCCTCTGAAATACAATCGGCGTCTAGCGAAAATAGTCCTTCTAAGAGAAATCGAGTCAAATATTTCAAACGGTTCCGTTTCTGAGAAAACAGTCGGTCTCCTTGAAAAATACGAGGAGATAGATTTTCAGGAAGGAATAAAAGCTTCGAATGCTTTAAGGGAAGCGTATTGTGCTGTGGCAGTGGATTGTACTGTGAGGGTTTTGAAGAACGGCAGTGAGGAGAATGTTAAAGCTGAGTATTTAGATGCAGTGAAGAGAATATGGAGCCGCAGGATATGTAGAATGGAAAAAGAGGAAAACGCAGGTCTTTTGTCTGCGGATTTGTCAGAATGGAGAGAACTAATTGAGACAACTGCGTGGGAAGACATTGATTTTGATAATGTGATGAGAGTGAGTGAAGCGCTTGACGCTGTTGGGGCTGTGAAAATGTTTGTTAAGGAAGCAATGGAGAAAATGGGTCCTTCATTTCTTGAGTACATGGCTGAGACTCTTGGGAGAGAGAATAACAGTAGGGAGTCTCTTCCATCACAGAATGAAGAAGACGAGGGCCAAATTGCAGGGAAGGTCTCAGCTTTGCCAAGTTATGCCCAAATGCCTACCCATCCAAACAATGACACAGGTAGTTTGGTATTTTTATCTCATTTCCCTACAAGAAGTGGTGATCACATGCAACCTTTTCGTCCATATTTAAGTTTGCACGGTATTTTTTAAACATTAATATTTGCATCACAAGCTAGAATTTTCTGCAAATAATGAGGAATCTCCAAAACAGGATTGAATTTACTGTGCAAAGTCTCAAATTTGCGGTTCAAAATCTCAAATTTGAGGTGCAAATAATAATGGTTCAGAAATGGGGTGCAAACGTTAATGGTACAAAAAATGGGGTGAGAACTTAAATTTAGTTGGAAATGTGGGGTAGCAAGCTCCAATCCCCTCAATTGTTTATGACAGTATCACAGTACTGTATTAAAGTATACAACTTTTATTGATTACACAAGCTGTCTATACAATTGCACCCTGGTTACTTTATCTATTAGTTAAAATTTGCTATGATTGTAAATACTGATGTTTTCATGTAATTGTAGTGTTCCGAGTGTTGGGTTTGAGCAATTCATACTCGTTCATTATGAATTTTTTGTTTTCTTTCCATAGGTCCCAAATCATTTGATAAAAATAAAACTATTACTTCGTCCGTCCAAAAAAATATGTTCAAGTAAGGTACAAGTGTACAACCTTTTATTATTTCCGGCCAGTTATTATGCTTCTAAAACTTGTCCATGATTGTTGGGAGCATGTTAGTAAAACTGCTTGTGGCTTGGGTTTACCTGAATATGACCTTGACTTCTTAAAACTGGTTGTTATGGGGGGATGCAAAACGTTCTTGGAACATGAATTTTCTCTTGAAAGATGGCTCTTGAGCTTTGACAGAGGAAGTATATCTTATGTGGTATAAAGTTACAAGAAGCAAGGGCTGATGCAGATATGGTCAGATGTGGGCTTCAACCCATGTTTCTCAAAATTAAACTACATATATATAGTATTACCTCCACAGTTCCATCTAAAAAGTAGTGGGAGTAGATGTTTTTGTTTATTGTTTATTGTTGTTGTTGTATTAGTTGAATTATAATGAAGGGGAGCCTTGGCGCACTGATTACAGTGTGACTGAGAGGTCACGGGTTCAAGTCTTAGGAGTGGCCTCTTGTTAAAATGTCAAGGAAAGGCTTGCTCCTTATTGACCTTTGTGGTGGGACCCTTCCCCGGACCCTCGCCTTGTGCCGACGCCAATGTGCACCGGGCGGCTCTCTATTGGTTCAATTATAATAATTTAAAAATGTAGTAACTTTAGAATCTCTGATGGAGCCTCGATCTTTAACTAAGAAAGAAAGCACAACTCATTTCATCTTTCTTAGAAAAGGGGTTATCAAGATTCAAGATAGTTAAAGTAGCTTAGAGCCTATATCTAGTACAGTGCAGCGTAAATATAAATGAATTCATAGGAACAATCCATCCTATTGGCGTTTCCATATTAATTCTGAAAACGATGTATTCCTGAAAAATCTCAACAGTTACCTTCCTAAAATGAACCGTGGCATGCATAAACTGATTCAGGAAGTCATTATGGACATGTGACACATTGCATTTGGTTCACATATTCATAACTTTCTCTTCATTCTTTTTATTTTATTTCCTTATGCCGTTCATCTCTGGGATTCTCTCCCCTTCCACTTCACCCGCCTTTCTCTGAAATTCTCTGTTCCATTTCATCTCTAGAAAAGCAGAGATAAAAATGTGAGTAGTGCAGATGAACATATGAATTTGAAGCAGGTTATGTTTCTAATACTCTGTAGCTCTCCTCATTGTGTTGGTGAGTTTGAATTGCCTTTGAGTAGTGCTCAAGCCTTTTGGGATGAGAATTCCCAGCATAATGATAGATTCAATAGTTTGATACCATGAGCTGTGGTGGTAAAGCTGGGTTTGGAAATACACAAACATGATTCATGCCATGGGTGGGGTGCCTCTCCATTGTCATCACCGGGAGATGAACCACTATGGGGTAGGGCAAACAAGAGAGGCGCTTTAGAAATTGCAAAGCATAATAGTTATTGCTGAATGTCATTTTGGTCGTCAATTAAGTTCCTATGGTTGCCAAGTTTATCTCCGGCAACACTTCGTCTCACTGTCCCACTCCGGCACCATTCTTTCACTCCCTCCTCCCCCAACATCATTCAGCGTTCTCTCTCTCTAGGCTTTAACTGTTTATCAAGTTACCGGTCACTTAGAGTCATTTTTGGAATGTTACCCATGAAATTTGTATTATGTTGGAGTTGTGTATGTTTGAGATTGTTATGGAACACCAATGGTTGAAATTATTCTTGTGATTTCCTCCTAAATTTTATGATATGAATCTCCTTCTATGCTGAGTTGCTGACCATGCAATATCCTTCAAATTCAAACCTGGAATCAAATTATGAAATTTATTAACGAGATGAGATTAAGCAATCAATTCTATGAAGCATGAAAACTCTCTGTGCCTCACGTTTCTCCGTTTCGGAAACTTGGAAGCGTGTCGGAAACTCAGAAACTTTGAATACCCGTTTTGGGCTGTTTTCGTAATTGAGAAACCCATATCCCTAAATACTTAGGCAAGCATAGCCAAGTGTGGAACTGTTCGTACCATAGATGTGTAGAAAGCACTTTGTAACAAGACTGGGGATGATTCTCTTAAAAGTTTATTTGAGGTTGTACACTGAAGATGATATTGTTAATATTATTATAGATCTTGTCCCATATTGACTAAACAAAATGCAAGAAGCTAACAAATAACTGTTACGGATGCATTCTGGGGCAAACAATACAGCAGGCGACAGGGCCAAGAACGAGCCCAGAACGTTGCAGATTCATACTCGGACTGTGGGCCCAACTATATCGAGAAACAAATTGGCTGAAAGAAAACTATTAATTAGTTATTACTATTATTCCTATTTCAGTTTTAGGCAACTTCCTATTTATACTATTATTCCTATTTCAGTTTTAGGCAACAGACTAATTGTTGTAGTATTCCTATTTTAGTTATAGGCAACTGCCTAATTATTAATTGCCTTAGGACTCTTGTATCAGCCTCTATATAAGGGTCATTATTATTATCAATAAAGGAACTTTTGGAAGTATTAATTTTGTGTGTCTTGACTAGGTCGGATATCAATTTAATTCCTGCTTAAGATTTCAATTCTTCAAAAGTCATAGATTACTTCCCAGTCAATTACCTTCCCTCTGAATTACAGAAACACTCTCGTCCCTGGACGAGATCATTAACGCAGGTTCTTAACAATTTGGTATCAGATTCCGGGACGATGGGCAACGATGCAGCAGGAGCCGAGGCATTGAAACACATGATTGAGGGCATGGACCAACGCCAGCTGACTGTGGAACACCAGCTGGCCGACCTGCAGGAGTGTGTCGCTAAATTGGCAGAATTACCGGCAGCGATGGCCGCCTTGTCCGCCTCTGTCCAGAAACTGACCGCAGATTCCTCCTCAGTATTTCCCCGCTTTGCTCGACAACACAAATGAGACTACCGACGGCAGGATCATGATGACTTGGTGGTTCCACGTTTTTCCAAGCTTGATTTTCCACAATATGACTGTAAGAGCGACCCTTTGTCATGGCTTAAACGTTGTGAAAGTTTCTTTGTTCACCAGCGTACACAGGCGCAAGCCCGTGTGGGTCTCGCAACGTTTCACATGACTGGGACAGCCCAGCTCTGGGCTGATCAGCTTGATCCCAGTGCTACTGACATCACCTGGACCGAGTTCTATACTAAGTGTACTAAACGCTTTGGACCGCCCTGTGGCGCCAATCCTGAAGGGGACCTTGTCAAACTCACCCAGACACATGATGTCGAAACTTATATTGAGTTGTTTCAACAGTTGCTTGCCCGCACAGTTGGCATCTCTGTGCGCATGCAAGTTAAAATCTTCACAGCGGGATTACGTGAATCGTTGCGCTTGGAGGTTGAGTACCAGAATCCAGTTGATCTTGATTCGGCAATGATGTTGGCCCGTACTGTGAACCGCAAGTATGAACACCCGGAGACCAAATCTCATTCCACTCTTTTGGTTCGATCTGCACAGTACACGCGGCCACCAACACCGAATATGCCTGATCCATCCTTAAACCGACGGCAATCCACACCGGGGTTTAAAAAGATCTCCCGCGCTGAGGCTGCCATACGCCGGGAAAAAGGTTTGTGTTATAAACTGTGACGATCCGTGGATTCCAGGTCACCGTTGTAAACGACTTTTTTTTATTGAAATTCTGGATGAGGAATCCTTAGAGGAGCCAGATGAATATACAACCAGTGCTGAGCCATCCCTGTCTATCTTGGCTATGACCGGGTTCGGATCTTCATCCACCATGCAACTTTCAGCACGTCTCTATGACCGTTCCATCACTATCTTGGTAGATTCGGGCAGCACTCATAACTTCCTGCACCAACGGTTACTTCCAACCACGGCGGTCCTATCTCAGGTTGGCAGTGCACTCCATGTACTTGTCGCTAATGGTGACCGTGTTTCCATAATGGGTACCTGCTCCAATCTCCCTTTTGAAGTCAATGGCAGACAATTCTCAGCAGATGTTTGTCCTTCCACTGGCCGGGTTCGATATGATCCTTGGTGTTCAATGGCTCCGTGGTTTAGGTTCGATCGTGTGGGATTTTGAGCAGCTCTCCATGCATTTCCAGTGGCAGGGCCATCCAGTAGAATGGCGTGGACGGGCAGCAGGTCACTCCATTCATGCCCACATAGCTGTTACCTCGCAGATGGAGACCCCGTCTCTGGATACAATGCTGAACAGTTTCTGTGACCTCTTTCGAGAACCCACCAGTCTCCCGCCTCGTCGAACTCATGATCACCGTATTACTTTATTGTCGGGCTCAGGTCCCGTGGTGGTTCGACCATACCGATATCCTTATTTCCAGAAGGATGAAATTGAAAAACAATGTTCTGAGATGTTACAACAGGGGATAATCCAGCATAGCCGCTCTCCATTCTCATCCCCAGTTTTATTAGTCAAGAAGCCAGACGACACATGACGTTTTTGTGTGAACTATAGGGAACTGAATGCCAAGACTGTTAAAGATAAATTCCCTATTCCCATGATTGATGAACTGTTAGATGAACTCCATGGCGCCAAATTCTTCACCAAGCTGGACCTCCGCTCTGGTTATCACCAAATCCGCATGGATCTTAATGATGTCGAAAAAACAGCATTCCGAACCCACCATGGTCACTTTGAGTTCCTTGTGATGCCATTTGGGTTATCTAACGCTCCATCTACGTTCCAGAGCCTTATGAACGACATCTTTGGGCCTTACTTGCGCAAATTCGTATTAGTTTTCTTTGATGACATCTTGATCTATAGTAAGTCATGGGTTGAGCATGTCCATCATGTTCACCTTGTTTTTGAGATTTTACGCACTCACGGATTGTTTCTCAAACATTCCAAGTGTAGTTTTGGATCCCCGCAAGTTAACTACTTGGGACATGTGATTCATGGTCAAGGAGTCGAGGTTGATAAATCCAAGATTCGTGCGGTTCTTGACTGGCCTACCCCAAGCACCGTAACTGCCTTGCGTGGTTTTTTGGGTCTTGCGGGCTATTACCGCAAATTCATACAAGGATACGGAGAAATTGCAAGACCACTCACCCAACTTCTCCAGAAAAATGCCTTTGTTTGGTCCCCAGCAGCAGCCACCGCCTTCACTGACCTCAAGCAGCGTTTGTCTTCAGCCCCAGTATTGCAACTTCCAGATTTAACAAGAGAATTTGTTGTAGAGTGTGATGCCTCTAGTAGTGGATTTGGGGCCGTCTTGCAGCAAGAGGGTCATCCCATTGCATATTTTAGTCGGCAGATTGCTGCCCGCCATTCGAAACTTGCGGCTTATGAGCGGGAACTAATCGGTCTGGCGAAGGCAATCACCCATTGGCGGCCCTATCTTTGGGCCAGAGAGTTTCTAATTAAGACTGATCATTCGAGTCTTAAATATCTGTTAGAACAACGCCTCACTACATCACCACAACAACACTGGCTAAGCAAGCTTATGGGCTTCACTTTCCGGATCGAGTACAAACCAGGACGCTTAAATGTGGTTGAAGATGCACTGTCTCGCCGAGATGAACCTATAACGTTAGCAGCCATCTCCATTCCATATACAACTATCATGGAGGACATACGCCTCGAACATGCCACATCATTTGAAATCAAGGCTTTATGTGAACAATTGACGGCTGGGGTCCTCGACGATGACTGGGCATATCGTGATGGCTTTCTCTACTTCCGCCATAAGATTTTTCTCCATTCTACCTCATCCCTCATTCCCACGTTGATTATGGTGTTTCATGAGATGGCCCATGAAGGTGTGGAAAAGACGCTACAACGGTTGCGCCGAGAATTCTATTGGCCCAAAATGAAGCTAACGGTGAGTCAGTTTGTCAAGGACTGGCTCACATGCCAACGCCATAAATGGTTAACATTACAACCAGCAGGGTTGCTTCAGCCGTTACCCATTCCACAACAAGTTTGGGCCGACATTTCCATGGACTTCATTGAGGGGCTGCCAAAAGTTCGGGGCAAAACAGTCATTTTTGTGGTTGTGGATCGTCTCACAAAAGCTGCCCACTTTATACCACTGGCTCATCCATACACGGCTGTTTCAGTGGCTAGTGTCTTCTTTTCTGAAATTTTTCGGCTGCATGGACTCCCTGAATCTATTGTTTCTGACCGTGACAAAGTTTTCGTTAGTCAATTTTGGCGAGAACTTTTCCGTTTGAGTGGCACTAAACTGACTTTTTCTTCAGCTTATCATCCCCAGACGGATGGCCAAACGGAGGTAGTTAATCGCACATTGGAAACTTTTCTACGCTGTCTCACAAGTGACTGCCCCAGGGAGTGGGTTCGCTGGTTACCTTGGGCAGAATTCTGCTATAACACTTCCTTTCACTCCAGTTTAGGAGATACTCCATTTCGTCTCGTCTATGGGAGAGATCCACCGAAGTTAATCTCTTATACTCCAGGAACAACAACATTGGAGGGAGTGGAACAAGAGTTAATCAACCGTGATGCTTTTTTATCTTCAGCTCGACGTCATTTGACCATTGCCCAAGCTCGTATGAAATCTCAATATGACAAAAATCACATGGAGGTTACCTTTGAACCCAATGATTGGGTTTGGCTGCGGGTTCATCCTTACCGAAAACTCTCCATGGGTTCTCGTCACCATAAACTACTTCCCAAATTCTATGGTCCATTCCAAGTGGCTGCTCGCATCGGCAAGGCCGCTTATCAGCTTTCTTTACCTGAGACAAGTAAAATTCATAACGTCTTTCATGTTTCCCTCTTAAAGAAGCATCACAGTCCTTCCCCTGAGCTAATGGGACCTCTGCCTCCTTTACTAGAACAACCAACAACCTTGCAACCACTAGCCATACTTCGCAGACGCCTTAATAGGGATGTGCCAGAGGTACTTGTTCACTGGATGGGACAGTTGGCCGAGGAAGCCACCTGGGAGACCTTGGAGTCCTTTACTGCTGCATTTCCAAGGTTTGAGCTTGCGGACAAGCTCGAAGTCAATGAGGGGGGTATTGTTACGGATGCATTCTGGGGCAAACAATACAGCAGGCGACAGGGCCAAGAACGAGCCCAGAACGTTGCAGATTCATACTCGGACCGTGGGCCCAACTATATTGAGAAACAAAGTGGCTGAAAGAAAACTATTAATTAGTTATTACTATTATTCCTATTTCAGTTTTAGGCAACTTCCTATTTATACTATTATTCCTATTTCAGTTTTAGGCAACTGACTAATTGTTCTAGTATTCCTATTTTAGTTTTAGGCAACTGCCTAATTATTAATTGCCTTAGGACTCTTGTATCAGCCTCTATATAAGGGTCATTATTATTATCAATAAAGGAACTTTTGGAAGAATTAATTTTGTGTGTCTTGACTAGGTCGGACATCAATTTAATTCCTGCTTAAGATTTCAATTCTTTAGAAGTCATAGATTCCTTCCCAGTCAATTACCTTCCCTCTGAATTACAGAAACACTCTCGTCCCTGGACGAGATCATTAACGCAGGTTCTTAACAATAACATTACGAGTTACTTCTGTTAGGTTGATGTTTTAGAATGAAACCTCTTAACTATAAATTTCCATACACAGTGTTGATGCTGATTTTGTTATTGATGTAGTTTTATGGATTTTTTGTCAAGCACAACTTTGAATATATCGATCAACTTGTATAAGAAAGAAGATACTGATTTTTTAGAACTCCCAGCCCACCCCATATTCAATTATTGGGTCCGTCACCGGAGAAAAGGAAAATCAGTGGCAGAGCACAAACATCTTGCGTGTAAGCGCATCAGTGTTACCCTGGATGGGACGTCTAGAGGAAATAAGGTTGCTGATAGTGATAGTTTGAGAGCTGAGACATCAAACAGACAATATCGTTTGGTAGATACCCCTGAGGTCAATATTGCACAAGAAGAACTTGTGAAAAGTTCCTTGGGTTTGCAAGCTGTTGTCATGGATCCACTCCCAGATGCTTTACTCATTGCTGCAAATATTGATAGTCAACCTTCGCAAAAAAATCGTGATACCACTACTCCTGCGGTTAGTTGCTCTGGTGGTGTTATTCAAACAAGTGAGAGAAATATCAGTAACCAGAACAGCCCACGTCAGGTTAACCCGTCCAAGCAAAGGTTGATGGAGCGGAACAGTACGGCCAATGTATTTGAGGTGAATATTCTTGTACCTTCGTTGTGTTATAATCAATTTATTAAACTATCCATGCGAACAATCGAAAAAGTATGTAATCTAAGTTTGTCAATTGTGAATTGCGAATGAATTTGGAAGATAATTGATGATCATTACAGAAAGATTCATAAATGAGGCACTCATGTAAAGAATCGAATTCATTAGTTCATGAAAATATTGCTCACACTGCGATAAGGACAATTTTCTTGTATGCTGGCAATCCCAGATTCTTTCCTTTGTTTTCAGCAGATGGATCTCAGTAGATCCATGGGTGTAACTCTTTGCCTAGTTGGCATCTACAACCATCAAAATGCTATTGGGGGGATTTTATCAAGAACATGAGGGGGTGCTTGATTTTTTACTAATTTATCTCAATTTAAGTATTTTAATTCCAGACAGTTTACTTTGTCCAACTAAGGTTTCTGCCTGATATCGAAGCTTCCGGATGGATTAGAATAAGACAAGAAAGTGAGAAACACACATAAAGATGAAAGATCACAGCTGATTAATTTTAATCTTTAATACAGTTTTAAGAATTATAGCAATAAATGCTTTAAAATAAGATGAGAAATGAATAGTAAGGTGCACAAATCCACGAGAAGTTAAAATATTGTAGTGGAGGGAAAGTAGATGGATTCTCTCAATAGCCGCTTAGATTCGAAAAAGATAGATGCTATTTAAGAATGACATATAGGATAAACTAGTTTTATCAGTCAAGATTTTTTTTTGAAGCCTTAAAAAAGTAATACCTCCCCTTTAACCCCTCCAAATCCTCCAACCAAACAAGGGCTAAGTAATGTAAGGTGCAAATGCAGTTCAATAAGATCCGCACACACAGTCCATTGGATTCACTTTTGAACTAGTTCCATTATATATAATGGATTAGTGCGCACATGTCATTTTTTAAATGTATCAACTTTCTAGCACGGGTCTGCAACACATGTGGTACTACATTTTGGAGGGGAAGAGTTATTATTGAATTTTAAGAATATGATGCTTAAATATGAAAATTTATTTAAAAATTAAAATATAAAATAACCATTTAGTATGACCAAAGTGTTTGGTCATTTATTTACTTCCATAGCCACATTGTTATCTTCATTCTATAACAATAAAAAACAACCCCTACCCTGTACTCCCACACCTTTGCGCCTTTAGGGCTCATATATCCCATACTGGAACATAGTTCCTATTATTTTCATATTAGCATGTACATGTTAGCATGGTAGATTAGATGTTTGTTTGTCTGCATGCTTCCTGATATGTTTTGGAACTTCCAATTCTTTGTATGCAGTGGGATGATAGTATAAATGACTCGGATGAAGGATCACCCAGTCGTGGAAAGAGACCTAAGTTACCAAGTGTACAAAAAAAGGATGTTTCTCCTTTGCGGGAGTATCAAATGAAAAATTTGAAAAAGAGGAGAAAATTAAAAAAGTGGAGCTCAATAGAAGAAGACACATTGAGGACAGGTGTTCAAAAGTATGTGATTGGTTTTTAGCCTATGAAGACAATGCTATTTCTTTTCTTCAGCAAATACCTGATCTATTTGTTGAACCATAAATTCACCGAAATTGGTCTGTCATGATTTGTTTGGCATCAGTTTGGTTTTCAGTTATGAATTTTGACCCAATTTAGTCCTCATGCATATTTGGTACTAATAAATAAGAGGAGTATTTTAATCTATTCTCCAAATTTAAGATTCAATTTGGTCAAAATCATGTAATTTAAATCAAAATTTGGTCATCAACACATACAAATACCCTTGTTAATTAGTGCAAAAAGTTTACGAAGAACAAATTGAGTCTAGATTGCATAGTTGAGGACCAACTTGTGTCTGAAAGAAAGTCAAGACTAAGTTCTAAGTAATAGTTTGTAGTCCAGAGACTGAATAGGATGTTAACTCTAAGATCCACATTAACGAAGCCATTTTGTACGTTTCTTGAAGGCTTGGACGGGGAAATTGGAAGCTCATTCTACAAGCTTATGGGGACATATTTGAAGATAGGACAGAGGTGAGCATTTTGATGTTGCTGGTGGCTATTATCATACGCTTCTTGGTAGTAAGAGTGAGTGTTTTTATTCAGGTTGATTTAAAGGACAAGTGGAGGAATATGACGCGATAGGAATGTTCATTACGTGATGTTGGTAACTTCGTTAACAGGTGAGAGCCCCTTGTATAGCTTTTTGATCTGGCTGGGATATTCTTTATATGAATAGGTAAGTCTTCTTGAAATGGTTTACAACATTATCTGTACCAAACTTCAAACATGAAGCTTATTTCATTACCATTTCTATTTGCTTGGTAAAATTGTGTACTCAGCATTTTATTCCCAGGCTGATGATCCGTTCAACTTGTGACACCAATCCTGTTGGGTAAATGGCTGATCGCTCGTAAAGTTCTAAGCCATTTTTGGGCCGTAGTTTGATCCGGTTTGGCTGGTTGACTCGCTAAAATGGGTGTTGGTAACGCAGCTTCATTGACATAGCCTTTCCATCAAAAATTTGTTCAAGTAAATGCATTTTTGTTGCTCCAAATTTGATAAATGTAATTATACTCCCTCTATCCTACAATAGGTGGCATTCTAGGTATTTTACGGAGATAATTATGTAAATGACTCAAATACGTAGTAATAAACAACTTTTCTAAAAAGGAATCTGTCAACTGTATTGACAATTACTGCAGAACAAGCGGAGTATTTATATAAAAAAAAGTGGGCACAATCCATGACTCATGATAACAACTTGGTTTAAGTTTGGTCTCAAACCAGCTCAAATACGCGCATTAAAAACAAACAAAATAACCGGGCTGAAACCAATCTGCTCCAGTCCCATTTTAGAGGAACCAAAATCGTTTTTGAGCTTTTTTATTGAATTATAATTTGCGTGGGTTTTGACCGTTTTGTACGTAATCCATAGGTCCTGTAAAATCGTTTAAAAAACGCAACCTTCATATTTCAGGAATGACCAATGAGCACAAGAAAGTTTCACTATAGTGATGGATTCGGGCCGGGCCTAGGCCCGGTCGGGCCGCCGGTTCAAGAAAAGTGGGCCCGGGACCGGCCCGCGGGTTGGACTGGTCCAGTTCGGGCCGGGCCACCCGCCCGGGTCATGGGTCGGGTCCGGTTCGGGCCGGTTATTTTTTTTTTATAATTTATATTTATAGTTTATAGTTTTATACGAGTATTAAAAACAAACTTCAATTGCATTTATTTGAAATGAAATAGGAACTACATATAAGAGATAAACATTTTGAAAATTGTAATCAATCGAAACTTCCTGCACCTCCCGATCCTTTGGTTTTGTCACATGACTTCATATGCTTGATTGCCATCCCGAATCCGCCTGAAGCCCCCATTATACATTTTTTTTCGCACCATTTGCAATTTGCGTACCACATCCCGGTCTTCGGGTCCTTCTGCTTATCAAAATTATACCGTATAATGGCATTTTGATTTTCCATCTTAACTTCTTGGAGAAGAGAATATGAGAGTAGATATATAATATATTGGAGAATAAGAGAATTAGAGAGTAGAGAGATAAGAATATGAAGAATTGGAGAAGAGATATGAAAAAATGTTTAAGATTAGGAGTATTTATAGGTTTTTTTTTTACCCCCCCACCAACCCCCCACCACCCAACCCCCCTGGACCCCCCCTTTACCCCACCCAACGGCTATATAGCCGTTTGGGTTGTCCCCAGCCCCACCCCCAACGGCTAGTAGGAGCTCAAACAATTTTTTTTTTTTTTTAAAAAATTGGACCGGACCCGGGCCCGGGCCCGACCCGGCCGGGCAGGGTCACAAAAATGCTGAACCGAGCCCGCCCCGCCCTTCCCACCGGTTCGGGCCCATACCCGGTCCCGGACCGCCCGAACCGGGCCGGTCCCGGGCCCGCACAGTACCGGGCCGGGCCGGGTCACGGGCCGGGTGGCCCGAACCGAATCCATCCCTATTTTACTATTTTATGTTTGAGGAAATTTGACTTTGCACTCCACTTTTTGGGTGATATTAGACTTTGCACCCCATTTTCAAAAAGCTTTGGCTTTGCATCCCAACACATACCATTTTGTTTAAAAAGTTTCTAAATGAGATGCAAAGTCAATTTTTTTTAAGTGAAATGGTGTGCGAAATCAAAGTTTTTTCAAAATGAGGTGCAAGATCCAATATCATCCAAAAAGTGAAGTGCAAAGTCAAATTCCTCCATTATCTTTTGATTCTTTTCCTAAATGAGACCAGGGAACACAGCGCCACGGAAGAGTTACAAAGATGACTTTTAGAGATAGAGAGAGTGAATGCCTGATGGTAGGATTGAGAATATGGACAGACATAAATGGTAGTAACGTAGCATTCGGATCTAAATAGGAGTCCAATTATTGTGTTGATCGTTTTTCTTTTTAATTTTTATTTAATACATTCAAGTACTTTGTGATCTAATGATATAATTGTTATCTCCTATAATGGAGGTGATATGTTCGAGTTCCATCCCAATTGAGGATGTTGGCATTAACTGGAGCATATACTATAATAGGTTTAGAAAGATATGCAAAAAAATTATTTCCCATTATTTATTACTGGTTAGTTTTTTATTTTTGTTTGATTTTGCATATTCTTTTTTTTGAAAGAGATTTTGCATATTCATCTAAATAAATTTATATTTGGAAAGCAAATTATAATTTATTTTGGAAATTTTTAATTAATAATAAAGTAATAAATATTGTTACATTATTAGTAATTTAATGTTAATAACATTGTCTTTATTTTGCGTAATTGCATTGCATTAATTTGGATCAATGGCGATGGCAGTGCGATGCCAATGTTAATATCAATGCTATAAAAATAATATTGTAATAATGACAATGTCAATGCTAATGTCATTTATCAATGTCCGTCAATGCTACAAAAATGACACTCTTAAAAACAACCTTGATCCTATAAAAATTTACATTGTATCTATAGGAAAAAAATCTATTAAAAATGTATTATAATATCTAGAAAAGATGTCGCAATGTCAAAAAAATGTCACAATATCAAACAATGGTAATGTCAATGCTATAAAAAGGATATTGTAAAAAATGACATTGTAAAAACGTCAGTGTTAGACGTTGTCATTATAAATATTATCACACCAAACAATTTTCCAATATTATAAGTATTGTCAAGGAAAAATTGATAAAAACAATCTCACCTTTTTGACCGATGTTATTATAATAATCTCACCTTTACGTAATTCCAGAATAATCTTACATTTGCATTCCACCTTTTTCATTGGACTCTGACCGGTTGATGACGTACTATATCAGATTTTTTGTCTTTTCTTTTGAAACTTTACATAAATTATCCGACATTTCACAATCTGTTCAAAACGGGGTCATGTTTCATTTTCCTCCTTAAAATTTTTCTTTCTTTATTTTTATCCATAGACATTTTTTTATTCCCTTTTCCGTCTTTCTTTTTTGGTCTGTCTCACTATGATTGTCCCATACAATAGGTAAAGTTTGTGTGGTTCTACGTCATTCTTACTTTATCAATTCAATATCAACCACATACACCTACTTTTCGTAATTATCGTGCTACCTTCTCCTGTTCCAATGTTAGTGGGACAGAGGTAATAGTTAATATTATGTTGTTCACTGCTAAAATATATTCTCTCCATATTCTTTTATTTGCAACACTAGATTTTAGCACAAGTTTTAAGGAAACAATAGGGTTGGTGAAGTATATGGGAGAGGGTAATTAAGAGTAAAAGTTAAGAGTAATTAGATTTCTTTATTGGGAGATCATACTTTTAGTGTCTCAAATAGTGTCCGCATTGAAATCTAGTCCTGTACTTTCGAGTTTGTAAATGTCACTCCACAATTGTCTGAATTGTGTAAGTGTGGTCATCGCCGTTAAATATGAGTCAACACTGTTATCTTTTATAATAACTTTGGCACAGTTATGACATTGCCCCTCAAAGGATGTTTCCCATTTTATAACCGTGTCAAAAGTTAAAAAGTTAACAATATGATGTTAGTTTAGTTTTAACGACGAAAACCGCATTTACAATAATTCAGACAATTGAGGGGTGACATTTACAAACTCCAAAATACGGGGATTTTATTTGAATGTAGACACTATTTGAGAGACCGGAAATGTGATTTCCACCTATCTCGATGGATAAAAGAGTATAGAATTTGGATCAAATGAGAACATGATTTAAAGAGAGAATAAGAAAGAATATGAAAAAGTTAAATTCATGGGTTGTGCATTACGTCAACGTGCTCTATCAAATGTATTTGTTTAATTTTTTCGAATTCGAATATGAAACGAATATTAATTTCGATTTGTATTTGTATTTGTATTTGTTTAACAATATAAATAGTTAACGAATCATATACAAATATCGAATCGATTTGAGCATAAGTTAAATATTAGTCAAATATCACTTTAAAATAACTTTTCCCGTATTTTTATGTTATAAATGCAAACTATGACTTAATGTGTTTTTGGAATTTGATTTGTAACATTACATTTTCGTAAAAATTAATGGATCAATGCATTTTTAGATTGTTTAGAATATAATAAAGTGAATCAATTTCACGATTTTAATTTAAATATACATCTATTTCAAACATTTTGAAATCGACACTAACACACACATATTAGAAATTATACTTATAACGTGTGAAATAAGTTGATAATTGTATATATCAAAGTCAAACGACTCTAATTTTATGTTAGATATTTAGCATTGTTGCTAATAAAAACCATTAGATAGGGAATTAAGGGAGAGGAGCGGCAGTGTCATGGGGAAACCTTAGCCGCCGCCTCCTCTTTTTCTCTTCTTTTCTTTTCTTCTTTCAATCTTCTTTGATTTCAAAAATAGAAAAACATCTTCTTAATCAGTGCTTTCAGTTTTATTCATCTGTTCTTTCCCAACGTTGTTTGGAGGTATTATTGTTAAGTATGATTGTTTTGTTGATGACTAACCATACAGGGGGAACGACGGATAGAACCGCTCACAGTTCCTTGCGTAACAAAGAACAGAACTATCCTCAGGAACAAATGGATATTATTAATTTGATTGGCTAACCATGCAGGAGGAACTAATGCAGCTCCATTTCTAAATCCGTAATATGATTTGAATTAATACGGATTGCACCTACTTGTTCTTCTATTGCTATGCTTTCCTTATATGAGTGATTATTCTCTTTCCATACTTGATATAGCTTAGTATGGTACGTAAAATATTCCCTAGCTATACGGATGTGAAAGAGTAGAAGTTGTTTGAAATATATTCCATATCTTAATCCGTTGCTTGCTTATATTGAGAAAAATATTCCTACCTTTTTGAATATTGACCGAAGCCTGCCTTATTTGGTAATTAATTGATCACTCAAGAGATGGATGAGCTGTTTGTATCTATTCTTAGTCCAGGACTGATATGCTACCCTGATTAAGATATTTAATCCGGCTGCCTTATATATTGAGCTCGGATATGGGAAATATTATAAAGAAGGAAAGCAATTCAAAATATTGAGGCAAGTCCCAAGATTAGAAGATCAACTATTCAAGGAAGGATGCTTAAACGGGCTGCCCAAGACAACCTATATAAACGAAGCAGCCAAAGAGAAATACGATGTGCTTGACCGAACAATAAAAGAGAGAAATATACTTATAAGAGAGTATCAAGACCAAGGCAACTGAAC